ATATATCAATCTAATTTTTTGTTATGTTATATAAAATTTATCCCCCTTTAACATATGTAAAAATTGAGGTTAAGAAGTGTTAAGCTTTTGCAAACGAAACGGCGAAAGACCATTAGGTGATATTTAGTGGAAGGAGGAGGTATTCAACACTTTCAAATTAAACTCAAATTTTGGAATTATACGACCAACAAGCTTGACTTATAGACGTACAGACACAAACATATGAAACTGTTTATTGATATTGTTATGAAACGAATTTATCTATTTAACATTGTAGCCTGAAATTACAGAAAGAAAATACGATTTCCGGTTTGCAAAAAGGAAAATTTCGCCGGCCTTCAAGCGCACCGGAAGCGCGGAAAGAACGCTCGTGCCAGTCCTACTCCGCATCACACATTAAATGAAGAGCGGAGCGCTCGTTTCACCGCCCAACCTTTATCCGCCCTGGGCCTCAAATCAGAGATAGCGTCGTCCTCGAGTACATCCACTTCCACCACTTCCAGTGCCGTACCGAGAGCTTTAATCTCTAGAGAACGTGTTCCCAAAAGTAACAACGGAAAGTACAAGGAAAGAGGTAACTCAGATCCAAAGAACATGAGTCCTCGTGATCGAATCGAAGAATTCCCAGGGGAAAATTTGTGTCTTCGAGGTGGAAAACTGTTTTGCAATGGGTGTAAGGATATATTGAGCATTAAAAAGAGTATTCTCAAAAACCACTTGGCTTCCAAAAAACATGCCGCAGGCAAAGAGGAGTTAAAGGTAACAAAAAAGAGAGATCATGTGCGCACATGCGTATTTGCGATGCTAAAGACGATAAGACTGGAAGGACACCAAGTACTACCCGGAAGGAGGACTATATGAATGTTCGTTAAAGTCAAAATTGATAGAGTAAGCTACTGATAATCTTTATTTTCCTTAAAATCAGTGTAAAATCTAAGTAGCATAATTTCGGTGGCAGAGAGCATAATTTTCAGAAAGTAGCATAATTTTGGCATAATTTCTAAAAAATATGAGCACTTCTAAAAGCATAATGTGCTTTTTTTTCGAGCACAATCTACCAAAGCCTATCCTCGATTATCCTGGAAACTCTGCAACAACGAGAGTAGCCCTGGGGACGAGGTTGATTCTTCCCAGCAGCCCTTGCTATCCGCAGTCCTGACAAGGGCGCGAAAAAAGAAATATGGCGAACGAAAGTATCAACTGGAGTTAAGAGAACAATCTGTCACGTTATCCTTGTTTAAAAACAAACCCCAGATATTTTAAAGGAGGAAGAAACTATGCCTTGGGACTCCGTTGAAGTTGGTTTAGCTGGAGGCGAAGAAACGGTGAACTTCGGACCAAGGAACGAGAGCGGTTCTTCATTGTATCAAGTGGATACATTGGCTAGTGTGTCACCGAGAGGAGAGGTAAAAACAAAAATACACACCTCAGTTACACGATTTCTTGATCTCCTTGTCGTATTCATAGGTCTGGCTGCTCATAATTCAGTATTTGATTTATTTTCCAGGTGCAAAGCTGTCCTCGCGTGTGTGGGGCTTCCTGCCCTGAAGGTTTCTGTCTTGTGGCTTCAAACCAAGTGATTTTGTTTAACGCAAGTTGCAGTGATGTTCATGCGACGTTGAACTTTGGTGAGATGCGATACTTTGTGTGCCGCAATAGAAGTTCAGTTGATCATACCACCATCACCATGATGGACTTGGTGCAATTTTAATATTATTGGTTTTTGTTGGGGGGGGGGGGGGGGGGGGGGGGGGGGGGTTTTTTTTTTT